CCGTCAGCGTGAACACTTCTAACTGCTTCCTATTCTTATCGAATTTTCGCAAATTGAATTTTATATTATAAATTGGGATAGTGACGATGCAATCGCCACAACAAGAAAGACTTATAGATTTATTTTTATCGCGTTAATAACGCGATAAAATAACAGTATCCACTTTTATTATAATTAACATCTACCTGGCATCCGACTTTGAGAATAAAAATGTTTTAATATGTATTAAATTAGATTTGGTTTGTACCACATTTCCTTTCGTATCTTAAGAATTTGAAAATTATGAAGGATTGAAAAATTCTAACGCCCTAGATGTTACTGTTTTCTAAATGCTATCTAATTAAGCATCGTTCATAATTGTACAAAGCTACTATAAATAGTAATACAAAACATGCTTTGGCATTCATTAGCTTCTCCCTTATCATTACAATTTTATGTCAAAGGACCTTAACTAAAAAGCTCGAATAAAAAAAAATGAAAGGAACTCAGACGTATTAAAGGATTAAGAGATTAGGGATTCTACGGTATTGCAAGTGAAGTAAGTCAGTCAGAATGCCGTAAAGGGCTCGACTGAGGTGGAATAACGAGGGAGCACCCGTTTGATTGCAGAAGGATGCAACCACGGGTGACAGTGGCTCTGGCCACGGTCTGGCTGATGGTGGCGGTTCTGGTAGGAGGAGCAGTCGCCCTCCGCCTCTCTCACGATCAATACTCCCCCGCGTCTCCGCGCCGACACGCTAGGGTTCAACGGGACCACACTGGAGACTGGAGGGATCACGATTCGGCCGAGGATCAACCACTCGACCTTTGGATCGGCCCGCGAAGGTCGATCTCCACGGAGGGTATGTCAGATTTTACAACACTATGTCAAGCGCTGAGCAAAATAAAGCGCTATACTGTGTCCCGCTGTCAATTCAAGGGCTGATGTCGAATACGAGATTGTCATTTTGAGGAGATACTAGAAAAAGCTTAATAGAAATTTTCCTGTAGTTGTTTTCCTTTGTTGGAAATGTAGTTATTTTCCTTTTATACACGAACGAAGATGTGTAGAAAAGATAATGACATTATGACTGACATTTCTAAATTAATTTTATTTTGTGGAAATTTATTTACTTCACTTTCTCTCCTAAGAATACCAAATAGAAATATGCTTTAAATATTTTATTATTTACACATATTGCATTTAATATTTTGATATACTTGCTAAGTAGATGTAGGCATATTGCCCAATTTCTACTGACTTTAATTACATCAACGAATCAATTCTGTCACGCTGTCTAGTGGAGACGGAATAGACGATGCATCGCGACGAAACGTGTCGCTCGACCTAACCGGTGGAAATCTGTTCGCCCTAACTTTTTGATTAATCAAGGTCTTCTTGGTTGTCGTCTTCGTGTAAATCCAATATCAAATGAATCGTTCATGGCTGTTAAAAGCTTGAATTTTCAGCATTTAATTCCAAATATAGTTATTTTCATTTCTCTCTCGTGTTGAATTAAAAATAATATTCAGTATATATATGGGCCATTCCACGTGAAGCGGATCAGTCATCTCTCAGAAATTTTTCTAATTTTGCACAAAGGTAGTACTTTGGGAGATAGAATTTTGTGCCAAAGGATTTTTTTCTTATTGCAAAATTAATCGAGATATAAACAATTAAAAATTAGACTGCTTTATTTTTCAAAAATTCATAGCTTTGTTAATAATAATGCTAGCTGACTGCTTTTTTTTTCAAAATACGCGAAAAATGTTCTAGTTTACGAGAAAAAAATGAAGATTCCAAAAATGTTTTGTA